ATATTAATGCTAGCGAGAAACTTTTATACAGAAATTGTAGATCTCGTCATCCTCTACAAGAAAGGTCGTATACAATTTTCACGTAGATTCAACGGTTTAGGAGTAATTGAGGAAAAACGAAATTTTTTGCCAAAAGTTCGCCGTTTCGACGCTGGGATGGTCGGATTTCGTGAATGCCAATAAAATGCCAATTAACTGTACTTAACTCGTTAAATACTTGAATTAGAAGAAAAATGCATAGAATCTTTCTTTTTAGAGGATATCAGTGCCTACAACTTCTGTATAAAAAACTTTTCGTCAGCGTCAATAATTGGATATTTCCTTCTATACTTTTTAGCATGTAGCTATTTATTATTAGCATTGTTCTTCCGACGTCTGATTTCTTTTTAATTATAGGAAATGCGTTTTTCTAAGGTACATAAACTTTTGGGATTGACTGTATATCCAATACTTATCCTTACATATCCTTAATAAGATTCGATATTTTTCTCGTTTGTATTAATTTATACTTTTTTTAACAATTGACTGAAAATCTAATTTTCAACTCAGTATTATGTTATTCCAAATGAATACTCTGGTTAATTAAATTTTGTTTTCTACTGCTGTTCATTTAATATTACATGGTACTTATTACATCTGACTAATTATTACAGGAGTACTTCTCGGCGAACAAATCAATGGGCGCGGTCACTCTAGCGATAGCTCTGACAGTGTCTTTCGTGTCTGCAATAACATTGCTCGGAATCAGCGCGGAAAATTACGCTTACGGGACGCAAATCATGCTGTTGTATTTAGGTGGTTTCATTGGAACGCCGATTACGCTGTTCTTCTATCTTCCCGTCTTTACCGAGTTGAACGTTATGAGCGTGTACGAGGTAATTGCTTGATCGATCGCCAACAAAGCGATTTCCAATTTACGATTTGAGATCTGGCGAACTTCTTGCCTCACTTCTTCAGTGCCTTCATTTTAGCTTGCCTTCATTCTAGTATTTGGAGAAACGGTTCGGAGTCACAGCTCGTCTGGTAACCAGCACAGCCAATTTCTTGCAACTCCTCCTGTACACGGGAGTGGTGTTATTTGCGCCTTCGATAGCGCTCGAAGCGACTACCGGCCTATCAGGAGACATGAGCGTTCTGCTGGTGGGTTTCATTTGCACCTTTTACTCGACTCTTGGTGGTATCAAAGCTGTTCTGATCACCGACGTGTTCCAAGCATTGTTAATGTTCGCTGGTATCGCCTGCGTTCTTGGCGTCGCAGCCGCAGATCTTGACGGAAGTCTGTCCAACGTGTGGAGCATCGCTCAAGCGGGTGGTCGAATAGAATTCTTCGAGTAAGAACTCAACGAGATGAATATATAAATATAATTGAAAAATCCTTTGATCTCCAGTTTCAGAATTGATCCAACGATAAGGCATACCTGGTGGTCCTTATTAGTAGGCAGTACCACTTTCTTCCTGTCACTTTACGCCGTGAACCAAGTCCAGGTTCAACGTTTACTCACTGCCAAGTACGTTCTGTCTATTAATTGAGTTATTTACGTTTCGTTTCCGAATTAATTTTTCTGTTATTAGAGATAAGAAAACATCAACCAATGCACTTTTTCTGAGTGGTCCTATAACCATGGCACTTGGCGTTCTCACGTCGTTCTGCGGTCTAGCCGTTTATGCCGTTTACAAAGACTGTGATCCGTTCACATCCGGAAAAATCACCATGTTCGACATGATACTCCCGTACTTCGCGGCCGACAGGATGTCCCGTCTACCGGGGATTACTGGACTCTTCATTTCAGGCGTGTTTAGCGCAAGCCTCAGCACCATCTCAGCGATGCTGAATTCCTTGGCCGCCGTGGCGTTGGAAGATTACGTGAAACCGGCATGTCACAAATTCGGAATGCACTTCTCGTCAGAGAGGGCCACCATGATCGGCAAAGCGCTCGCAATCATGAACGGTTTCCTCTGCTTGTCGGTCGCCTTTCTGGCTAAATCGATGGGCTCGCTGATCCAAGCTGCCCTAAGCATTAGCGGAGCGATAGGCGGACCGATCTTGGGAATTTTCACACTAGGGATGTTCATAGAGGCAGCGAACGAGACCGGTGCCATCGTTGGAATGGTTTCAGCGTTGACCATTTGCATTTGGGCTGCATTGGGATCCACAATTTCCGGGACATCACAGGGACAGACATTGCCATTATCCATAGACGGTTGCGATAATTCCACTCTCCAGTTGGAGCATTTTAATAACCAGTAAGTTTCCCGTTTGTTAAGAAGGCGAGCGAAGTTCAAAGTTCGAAGTTGAGGTCGAGCATTATAAAATTTTTCGACAGTATTGAGGAAACGATTCTGTTGAGATTAATTTAAAAATGATAATAATAATTTATTAATAGATTCAGGAACGAATTTAACATAATCCGATTTCTAAAATCAATATTGAACGCTTTCCAATGATTCCTTCTTTATGTATTCGCGCTGCTGGATCGTATCTAGCATCGTTTCTCGCTTGAACAAGATTTCCTTTCCAACAAGGAAATTGCATACACGTGCCGCCGGTTTATTTGCTCTGGTAACGTAGCCGCGGCAAAAAGGAGTAGTGAAACGTACGACTAAAGGTCGACAGATCGTAGGTACGCAATTTTTCGCGAGCTCCTTTCTTCGTTCTGGCGCGGCGTGATCGATAGCGAAACAGCCGCGATGAATTTATTGAAAACGGAAGATGTTGTTGTCAGATACTCTCGTTTACATCGAATCGTAATTGGAACATAAATCAGCAATGAATCGGTCTAGAATGCGCGTTATCGAGTGCGCGAATGCTGAAACACGACAGCATGGGCGTGCAGTGATTCCGTGGTAGTAATAATTATAATCAGTTGAGAAGCGGCGATCACTTCCTCTGGCTGTTTTTTCCGTTCGCTGCTTTCTCGACCAGCTCGTTTTTCATCGATTCCCACGATGGTAACTAACGCTAATTACCAGTTAATAAACCATGATTACGGCCTTATTTAAAATTCTGGTGTTCCATGCATACATATAGTATTGCTTTCTCTTTGCCACGCGATTTCATACTGGTCGATAATATTTTTCACTTTACTTTTCAGACCATTTACGTTGAATGCTTTCTAGCGTATACACAAATGTTAAACTCTTGGTTCTGTTAACTTAAATATTTTAATAATTACAGCTAATAGGATCGTGATGATTCTGATTTCGTTTTCAGGAACATCGACAATTCTTCATACTTGTATTTATACCGTATCTCGTATATGTGGTACACTCCTCTCGGACTCGTCATCACGTTGCTCGTGGGCTATGTAACTAGCCTGGTTACGAACAGAATACTCTACAAGAACGCTCGTGAACTGAATCCGAGTTTGTTCGTACCCATGCTGGCGGCCCGGATTAGGCGACGAAGAGAAGACGCGGCGAAAACTACCAGCAGTCAAATGTTTGTCTTGGAAAATAGGAAATAAAATCGAAAATCGATAACAACTTGTTCGACAAAGTAATCCTCCTTTAACGACATAAAAAGCGAAAAATGCTTTAAGTCATTTTTCGTTTTAAGAAGTTGTCAGAAAAACGAAAGCGAAAGAAAAATTTGTTTGAGTGTTCAACTTTAAGTCTTCGAATTTATTATTCATATGGGACGCATGTAAATGCATTCCATAAAAATTTGTACACGTGATTTTTATCAAGTTACAGTTGCTGAATGGAAGATACCATGTAGGCACCAAGAAATTATCCGTTTAAAGTAACAAACGACTTTCCGGTTAAGGGAAGTTAATATAGGATGATAATTTAATGCAGAATTCGAAATTTTGTCATGAATATTAATTGTCACGAGATGAAGTTTGCTGTTCGGAGCCTCGCACGTAAGTCTGCAAGATAAGACATTCCGCCTACCAAACGAGCAAAATAATTTATAAATCTCATAAATTCGTTTGGAAATCTCGTCTCGGTTTTAATGCCGTCGTACACAAACGCCGTGATTTCGTGAACGGTGTAACAAACGAGCATGCTTCTCTTAATAATACTCATTAATAAAGTAAACACAGGTTGATCCAGTATCGTCTCGTTATTCGCAATTATTAATCGTCCAGACGATTCCATCAACCGTAACTCGGCACCATGGTAATTCGATAAAATGCCCTAACCAGTTCTGGCCCGCTCCGTATGAGCGCGTTAAATTCACCGACGGCTCGTTGTCTGGCCTGTCATCCTTTCCGCGCTGTTCAGTTGCAACTTAACGAGCGACGATAGGCGGAAAAAGGATGTGGGCTATCCGTGAATGAACCCAGCGAGGCATCTGGGTCATAGAGGCTCGCTCCGAGTCTGAAGACAATCAATTTCGTTTTGCAAAACTCGCAGAAGTGTGACCGCAACTTATCCGATGATCGTCGGTAAGCGATTCACAACGGTGTGGAACGATCCAGTAACTCGTTTAATTGAGCCTTATTCTACTCGGCACGTTATCACGCCAGAGCCCTGTACCACTGTCAAAGACACGCTATAAAGAGATAATTGATTCTTTCAGCGAAAGCGACCGGCCGTTTCATTAAATTTCACACCGAAAACGATCATCGCGCCTCGATGCCGCCCGTCCTCTTTCCTCCTCCCTTTCACGCGTGAAAATAAAACGAACAACGGCACGGCGGCGTTCCCCTCCATCGTTTGCGGAAGCGGAATTGTCGTAATTTATCGCGCAATTATCTCCGTGCCTGGGAAACGCACTATAATTCGTTTAATCGCAGTTCGTTTGCACGATTCGTTGGCCAAACTGAATTTTCATTCCGGTAAATGCCGCGAGGAAAAAAAAAATCTGTCGGATCACAGAAAGAGGTGCATGCGAGTGAAATGTTCCACAGAAACGCTTCAACATCGAATTACATGCGAACGTGTCGAACGGAGGGCATCAAAAGCTCGAATTAAAAACGTTCAGTCGCTTCCGTGCGCGTCGCACGATACAGCGATGTTTTTTTCGGAAATAAAAATAACGGCCGCGCCCCTGCGGCGGCGACCAGTCGATTAATTTCCTGTCGACGTGCCGTGTCGTGGTGCGTGCAGCGTTTCGTGCGCGTCATCGAGCAACGAAATTTTCGTGGGTCACGTGTTTCGATTCGCACACGTTCGGCCACATAAATTTCACCGCCCCGTACGAGGAACAACTCGTATGAGCCTAAGGTGGCCGCTTGTTGACGCAGGCACACCCATCGTGTGCGAGAATGAACGGCCCTTAAAAAAATAAAGGAGGTGAACGCGCGTGAGAACGTCGCCGTTAAACGTAATACCCGATATAGCGTTCAAACAGGCCCCTATCCGAGTTGTTAACGTGATTAAGGGTTGCTTTTCGGTTGGTAACGCGAGAAGAATGTTGTGTGTCGTATTTTTTTTAACAACGAGAGAGTATTAAAAAATTCGTATTATTCACATTATCAATTTTATTTAATTTTATTCTATCTTATGGAGAAAGAGAATGTGAGTGAAACTCACTGTTACAGGTCAAACATAATTCTTATAAGCATTTTACACCTAATATTACAGGTGAAAGTGAATATAATGAGGAATCGAGGATAATGTACCATTTTTAAGAGTACCATAATCACTGCCTGATGGTAGTCTTCTACGAAAGAATTCAAAAACATTTAGTAATGTTCCTGAGAGTGCTTAAAGAATAATTGCCCGATTACAACGCGAATACACTTCACCTAGTAATAAACGATAGTTGGTAATGAACCATTTGCGAGCAACTCAAATCGACGAATTCCGGTTCGCATCGCACCGTCACTGGACTCGTGTATCAGAACGTTATTTCCATGAATTGCACGCCGCAATACCGCAGTAAAGTATTCTCATAAGAAAACAACGCTAAACCGCGTTGAGGCTGAGATCGTACGATCTTGGCGAGTCGAGTCAAGTATTGCAAAACTTACTTCCTGGACGCTGCGCCTCCTACGATCGAGAGAACCGGCGTTTCAGAAGCTACAGTTACCAGCACGAATCTAGGAAAGCACACTAATTGTTAGTGGCGCGTCCTTTCTCCTCGTGGAAAATTGCTTGGCTTTCGAGCGAACGTGAAACGCTCTTCCTCTGCGGATATTCGCGCAATCAGGGGACCTCCTCTCTACGACTATAAGCAGACCGGATGGGAAAGATCGCGGATTATAGCAAATTGTACGTTTGATTAATAATACATTTCTATTTGAAAAACATTAAACAAGAAATTTGTAATTTGTTTAACAATATTTGTATGATCAATCTGTATGAAAGTATCAATTATAATAATAAATGATTATTTAATTTCTTTCTCTGCATTTATCTAATTTATTAAGTGTAAAAGGCAATAAGCAGATGGGAGAATCAGCTGCACATCAGGAACTTGCCCACCCACCATTCGAGAGACTTCTTTGCCTTTCACGAAACTCCCTACTCAATTCATCATGAAGTTGACCGAAAAACGAACATTCTGTTCCATCTAAAGAATTTTCGTTACAACGACTCCTAGTATAGCCGGAGCCGAGAATGTTATTAGTATCGTTACGCAACGCGTTCCAACGTTTCCGTTTGACATATTCTAATTAACGTTTGAAACAAATAATTTATGTTTGTACTGTAATAGCAATCACATTGAGGCAAAAGGTTCACTCGATTTTATTTACGGGTCGGCTGAATTGTGAGATCGACTCGCGAATTTTTATCAAAGGTAATTGAAACGTATTTTACAACTGAAAATATTATCTATTTAAATGCTACGCGACGTGACACGTAACAAGCTCCGTTTATTAAGACTATTCTAAAACACCTCAAGCGTTGTCAATTCTATCGGTGAAAATGTTCCCACGTAATAACGCAAAAACTCGTGCCGTTTGCCGTTTACCTCTCAATATACCAGCAACGACAAGTTTCAATTAAATGGAAACTACCTGAAAATTCCAACGACAGAATACTTGAGATTCCTGAAGAAGGAAGCTGGCTTTTGGACCGGTGTGCTGTGCTTGCGCAGGCACGTGGAAGAAACGCAAGAAAAGGTTTGCAGGACCGGTGGCCAACTGTATTTTACCTACACCACGCTGCGGTGTACTATGGTCAGGGCAAAAAGAATGCCAGCGGTTGACCGTATCCTGGGTCTTCTACGATAACCTATGCAAAAGACAGTTCGTGCGCGAGCTCCGGAGGAAGCGCAACGCCGCGCGCCGCGCCGCTTCTTCTTCACGGAATTCACGATACGGCCGGCTATGCATTATAGGGAATACGATATCCATCTTACGTCAGATCCATAGGATCTTATGGCCGCGGCGGCACCTAGCCGAGTCTGCAAAACGAACAAAAACCAGACTTGTGTTCGAAGAAATATCCAACAGTTTTCGTCCCGTGCAAACGTGCTCGTTTTGCGCTGAGGCTAGGTAGGCACTTGGCTCGGAGTACTCAACCGCAAAACCACCCAGTCAACCTCTCGTCCCGACCTTCGTGCCGCGATACGAGATGCGAAACTGTTGCTAACGGTCATCGTTTACTGACAGCTAAATACGCGAAATCATCGCCACTGGATATATTCCCGTTTAAAGACGAATCGGCAGATCACATTATTTTTTATGATTACTCGTATTTATAATTATTTACTTATGTACTGATTAAGATTATTTATTTTCTATTTTTCTATATTCTCATTTATTTGACTCAAAAATAGACATTTGTAATTCTGTTAGTATAAATAGTACAATGAAATAATTGCAATGCTAATACTACAATTTTAGAGGTAAACGTGGAAACAATTCTTGTTACTATGTTAAACAATTTACGTGAAATGTAAATGTGTACTTTAACGCTCAAATTACTACGTACATTCACCGGACTCTTGGAATAACATACTCGCTGATCCATTGTTCCGAACTCGAAGTCGAACGGATGACTATGACTGTTTGCACGTGAACCGGTGGCAGCATCAAATGTAAACATTCGATTTTACATCGCCGGGGGAGTCAATGTGCTACACAAATCAAATAACCGGTAAAAGTGGAACCGACCGAGCGGCCCAACCCAGTGTTGAACAAACGTTCACCGAGTTCTCCCGTGGCTGCAGCATCCAAAAACTGAGATTGATCGCGCAAACGGGTCCGTGGCAACGTAAACACTCATCCGGTCGCAGTTGGCGGTCGGGATCGATGAATGAATCTCGGCCGCCGAGTTAGAAATCCGCTGTTAGAAATTCGTTCTGGACAAACGCCAGACGGATCGAGTTCATGCAAATTCATGGGACGCCGCGTGGTCGCTTATGAGCGGACCGCAGCAAATGTGAAACGTGACGGAAAGAGACGACGGAAGGAGAACGAAGTGGGGGAAAAAAAAATGGAAAAATGCCGAGAGAATGAAAGAGGAAAAAAAGTTGGTGGAAAAGAGCGGACGCCGATGATCAAGATCGTACCGAGGCAGAATGCGCGTGGTTGAGAGTACGAAGGTTCGTGGCAGAGAGGAGAGCATGATTTCAATTTTAAATGCGAGTTCGCGGACCGTGTGGCTGCGAAAGAGAAGAGATACCCGAGGACGCTTCAAAAGTTCGAACGGCCATTGTGACCAAACCCCTCATACTTATGTGCATTCTATCGAATAACCGTGGAGACCACTGAATCCTTCAATGACTTCTCCTTTCTTCTCTTATTCCGATCTGAAATAACTTTTCTACAGAACATGCTGCGTGCAAAATTATTCAGAAAGCGCAACAACTTTGAAAATGGTTCAATATAATCTTGGACATCAATTTTATGAACGAACGACTCTATTCATTCGTATGACTGTATTTAAATAATTATCCGATTGGCTTTATCGTGATCGCGAGAGAGGATTCATCTTGTGTTGGCGTAGGAGAAAACAACCAGGCGGCACGGAGCGATTACACAATCCATGGTAGACGAGGTCGTATTCTGATCGCTTATCAAAATCGATTCGTCTTGCATCGAGCTTAATTACCCTCGAGGCAGGAATAATTGCGTCGAGATCAGATAAAGAACTACTCTACGACAAGCGTGCACGGAGTCCGATTAAAAATCGACCGAGAAGCGGAACTTGCTCTGTCTCCCATTACGAATAACCTTCGTTCTGTTCGTCAACATTTTCTACGCACGAACAATTCCAGTTACTTGCTGAACGACTACATACGTATTAAAGAAAAACAGGAAGTTTATGTGTCTGGTCCATTCTGCTCACGATTATCTAACTAAATTATGGAATCCAAGAAGTTCATTGCTCACGTAGACAACGCGTGTTTCACATACCGCTTCTTTCTTCTCTCCTTTTCCTTTCTGCTCGGTTCACGGCTTTTGCGAATTCCTTCGTTCATCTAAGTATCTTTTCCCGACCACCGACAACAATGTCCGCTGGGATGAAGACAATAGCCTCGACTGGACATTGATGGACTCGCCTCCCAGTTGACGCACGTTAACGATCGTGCCGTGGCTCGATCGCCGACCGGAACACGGCTTCAATGATGCTAGACGCGACACGCTCCGGGAAACACTTGGCCGAGGTAGAATTTAGACGACGCTTTTTGCATTAC